GTGTGTGTTAGAAGTAAGGAAAAATTCATTGTGAAGGGGAAGACATGAATCTTCTGGCTTATTCATTGCCGGGCGGGGCGGGGGAGGTGGTGCAACTGTTGAACTTAAATCAATATTTCCATTATGGAGCCTAGACATTTAGAAGTTTTTCTTGAGCTTTGACTCCCAGTACTACTATTTGTACTACTACTAATGATGATGTCTTCTGTTTTACCTTTAGCCATTTAAAGAACTAACTCTTTAACAGAAAACAGAACATACCTACCAAATTCAAAATTCCTACTTAGGGGCGCCTGGGTGGCTCAGTTGGTTAAGTGACTGCCTTTGGCTCGGGTCATGATCCTGGAGTCCCGGGATCGAGTCCCGTATTGGGCTCCCTGCTCAGCGGGCATCTGCTTCTCCCTCTGACCCTCTTCCCTCTTGTGCTCTCTGTCTCTCATTCTCTCTCTCTCTCAAATAAATAAATAAAATCTTTAAAAAAAAACAAACAAAATTCCTACTTAAAGCTGGTAAAAGCAAAATGTTTACTTTGTACCTTCAGTATCTCATGATTCTCTCAGGGAATAATACTTGTTTTCAGTGTCAAGTGTGGTGAATTATAGTGTGCCTATTTAAAAAAAATGAGACGGGCACCTGGGTGGCATAGTTGGTTGGGCATCTGACTCTTGATTTTGGCTCAGGTCATGATCTTGGGGTCATGGGATCCACCCTGCGTGGGGTTCTGTGTTCTGTGTGGAGTCTGCTTAAGATTCTCTCTCCCTCTCCCTCTGCCCCTCCCCTCACACATGTGCATGTACATAATAAATAATATTATGAAAGAAGGGACTTGAAATAAATAAATCTTAAAAAAATGAGATATAAAATACTGAATTAATGAAAAGGGCCAAAATTCTTATTAAAAACAATCTCACAGGGGTGCCTGGCTGGATCAGCCTGTAGAGCATGTGACTCCTAATCTTGGGATTGTTGGGTGTAGAGATTACTTAAAAATAAAATCTTAAAAAAAAAAACGAAACCTCACAATCCCAGCACACTAATATATTTTTCAAATACGATTTTTTACTTTTTGCATATATACCTTAGGAGCTAAAATACATTAACAGTTTACTTTACTCCTGTGTACCTAATAGTCTATCAAATGCATTTCCCATTATTTCTAGTCTTATCTAACCATTAAAAAAATTATTGTGGTTAAATTTAACTGACATAAAATCTACCATTTTAACTATTTTTAAGTATACATTTCTGTGGCATTAAGAACATTCACATTGTTGTGAATCCATCACCATCCATCTCCAGGACATTTTCATCTTCCCCAAATGAACCCTATACTCATTAAACACTAACTCCCCATTTCTGCCTGCCCCCGGCAGCCGCCATCTACTCTCTGTCTCCATGAATCTGACTATTCTAGGTATCTTATGTAATGGAATCATATAATACTTGTCTTTTTGTGTCTGGTTTATTTCACTTAGCATAATGTCTTCAAGGTTCATGAATGTTGTGGTACGTGTCAGAATTTCCTTCCATTTTAAAGTTGAGTAATATTCCATTATATGTGAATATACCACATTTTGTTTATCCACTCATCAATCAATGGATACTTGGACTATTGCCACCTTTTAGTTATTGTGAATAGTGCTGCTATGAATATGGATGTACAAGTATCTGTTCAAGTCCTTTCTTTCAGTTCTTTTAGACATACACCCAGAAGTAGAATTGCTGGATCATATGGTTAATTCTGTGTTTAGTTTTTGAGGAACCACTACACCATTTCCCACAGTCTAATCATTTTTTACTGGCTGTATAATATTCCATTTGTCTCTATACCCTAATTTCCTAAAACATTCCAGAATGTTTCCTAAGGATTCTCAAGTTTTCTTTTTTTTTTTTTCCATTGGATGGGAATTAGTTTTGGGTTAGACAATGCTCCAGGTTTTTGCCCCAGTTTAAAAAAACTCATACGCATATATCATTACTTTTGATACTAATAATCAAGTTGATTTTTGGTTAGTATCACCTTACAACTACTTCCCCATATCTAGGAAGTGCCCTATCCATGGGAGTAGGTCCTCTCTAGCTGGCCCTCTGCTTTCTGATTGAGTCGTCACTAGCACATATTCAAACTTGAGTCAAATAAATGAAATAAAAATAAAAATTCATTCCCTCCGTTGTTCTAGCCATATTTTGAGAACATAATAACCACACAGAGCTGGTGCTACTGAATTGGGTGGCACAGACATAGAACATTCCCATGATCCCAGAAGTTCTATGGTGAGTGCTGCTCCAGACTCTGTTTTTGACTCTGACCTTTTGGCTGTGGCTGAATTAGAGCTTATGAGTTATTTCCAGAAATGATTTAGTCCTAGGGACAGGCCAATGATAACCACATTCAGAAGAGAATGTCATAAACTCTAAAATATGAGTTTCATAATTTATAATTGGGCATATCTCTTCCAGGGACAGGAATACTTCTGTGTGCTATTTCCCATATAATTCTTCCTCAAAATATGAATTAGTGATCTTCAGGTTTTTTTGGTGATTGTCACCTAATCCAAGCTGGGTCCCTCAAATTCCTTCTCCTTCCCTTAGGAATTTGGAGTTTTCAGTCAAGTCTTCTAGGTATCTAGGATTATAAAACCAGGAGCACAAGTCATATCTCACTAGCAAAACAGAGTTGGATAAAGCAACAGAAAGAAAACTAAAACAGGTAAGTAGGCTGCCTTTTAGGCTTTCTATATTCTGGCTCCTTAGGCCGTTGGCATTCCTGACTTTGGAATCAGGACAAAAACTACCCACATCCTAATAATGAATTCTTGTATGCTTAAGCTAGCTTGAATGGGTTGGTAAATTGGGAATTGGAATCCTAACTAATACACACACATGCATATACCATAGATATGGGTATTGACATTTTCACAATGTGGTATTTGTGGTTGTTCATAAACTTTGTACTTAGTCATTGCACTGGGCCTCCAGACTTCCTGTAGCCCCTCTGATCTTTCTCTACTTTCCCTCTTGCTTTACCTCCTTCTCATCTTGAGTGCTTAGGCTGTCCTTTTTTTTCCCCTTCCCTCTCTTTTCCTTCCCTTGATCAAAGAATGCCGACTGCTATCTTTCTGGGTGTGGAAGCTTTATAAAATCAAGTCATGTAACATATTAACAACTGATTTTATTTTTTAGCTTGTATTGCATTTCACTCTCTCAGGCCTAAGTAATTCGGTCAACATTCATTAATGAATGACTGAATAAATAATCCCTGACAGGCCAAAGCAGTGAATGTTGAGCTTTAGAATCTGGCATGGATTGTACTAAGTGGGGTACTTATGCAAGTCATGCCATGCTCCTTTAGGTGGACTGACTGGGAGAGACCTCTTGCAGGAGGAAGACAGGATGAAGGGTCTGCTATGAAAAGAACACAAGCATCAGCATCCCAGAGGGAAGGGGCACGTCAAGTGTTCTAGGTGGGAAAATGCTTTGTGTTGCCAAGGAACAGAAAGGAGGCCAGTGTGACCAGAATGAAGAGAGTAAAGCAGAGTAGCATGGATTGTGGTAGGCAGGGCCTTCACGCCCTAGAAAGAGGTTATTGACAATATCTGAAGAGCAATGAGAAAATCCTAAAGGGATGTAAGTCAGACCTCATCTGACTTGTGTCTTAACAAACCAAAAAAGTCCCTCTGGTTCGTCTGGAGAATGAATCCTAGGAAGACAAGCAGGAGAACCTAGAAGGCTACAGCAATTGTTGACCAGAGACCAAAACGTCTAGGCCTATGAGGATTGGAGGTCAATGGTGATGGAGAACTTTTGTGACCACATTTTGAGATTCTGAAGGTGGAAATATAAGCTCTTACTGATGAAGAAGTTATCCTTTTTACCTTTTGAGTAGTCAGCCCCTATATTAAAGTTGTTTTAATGAAGTAGACCTGGACCCTAAGAAGTCAAGAAGGGCCTGCCTTTCTCAGTTTCACAGGCTTTGGGCTCAGATCTTATACCAAAGTACCTTGGGTCCAACAGTCCCCCAGCATAAAATTCTGCCATTTTCCTCCCTTCTCGTTGAATGAACTTGGGAGGTGACCGCTGGAAAAAAAAAAAGCTTTCAGCAAGAGGACAGCGGCGTTTGGGGTTCAGTGGTACACCCTAACTTTTAATTTCAATTAGTGTTCGCTTTTAATTTGGTATTGGTTATTTTACATTTGCACCAAGTGGGAGAAGGCATTTTGCTAGCAGCATCTCTTCCTTCATCTTCGAATACTGTATGCACCGTCTTAACTCCAAACGGCCTAGAGCTAAATTCTTTTAGAATAATTCATCTTCCACTAAACCTGAGTTCCTTTTCACCTGTCCAAATCCTGTGCGCCAGGGACCCGCTTCCCGCGGCGCAGACAAATGCACTCATTGTCTGTGCACCAGTCCCCCTGGATTTTATGCAGCGTGCATTTCCTGCTCTGAGCTGCTTGCTGCGTGCGTGCTTCCCTCGTCCCCCTGCCCCCACCCGGATCCGAAGCTTTTGTTTCTCACATTTCCTCCCGACGCTATTAAAATGCATGGACACATCGTTTCTAAATAAATGAATGACTAGGAACTTTTCTTTTGGCTGTTAACCTTTAGGCCGCTGTCCAGTGAAGTTCTGAAAAACAACTGAACCCAACAGCTCACGTAAAAGGACCAATCTACTTGGAAACAACGGAAACGTGGACATTATTTCCCAAACTTGTCGCGACAGGGGTGACTTAGGCATTCCTCGGAGTAACGCTTTGCAGGGGCCTCCAAGGGCGGGCCGAGGCGCTCCACGCGGCCGCAGCGCTCGCTCCCGTGTCTGCAAAGCGCGGGGAGGGGGCGAGGCGCGGGCGGCCCCGGGCCGAGCGGAGCGGGACCTCCGGGCGGCGACGCTCTGGCCCGCGCTCGCTCGATGGTTTCCGCGCGGCCGCTAGGGCCCGCGCGGTCCAGTCACCAGGGGGCGCGCTGGCCGGCGCCGCGGATCTCCGAGGTGCGCGGCCCGACTCGCGTCCGCCATATTGGATGCCGCAGCCGCTGCTGCCAGCGCTTCCTCCTCCGTCTTCGCTGTGCGGTGCTGGTTCCTGCGGCCCGAGCGGCGGGGAGGTGAAACAGGAGTCTGACGAAGGAAGAAGAAGGAGGGGGTGGAGAGTGTAGGGGACGGGGCTAGAGGGCGGAGGACCGAGACCGAGCGGGGCGGAGAAGAGAAGGCGCCGCGGTCCAGCCCCTCCCCCGCCCGCTGCCGACCCGCCCCGGCAGCGCCTGTGTTCCCCAGACCGGCGCTCCGCCCGCCCTAGCGGCCATGCCGGGGCCTCGCTGCCCCTGAGGGAGTCCTTCCCTGCCAGTGCTTGCCCTTCCACGCCCGTCCCGGGGTCGCAGCGGCCGGGTCTCCCGCCGGTGCCCGTCCTCGCGGCCGCGCCGCCGCCCCCGTCTCGCTCTCCCCACCCAGTGCAGTGGCCGCCGCCTCTTCCGCCGCCGGGCTCGGGGCCTCCGCACCGACAACATGGAGGCTGTGAAAACCTTCAATAGCGAGGTTGGTATTGCAGTCTAGCCTCCCCTCCTGCCCACACCTCCCACCGGGACTAAGCCCGCGGGAGCAGGGTGGGTGCGGGCCTGCAGGGTTTCCCAGGGTGGGGCGAGTGGTGGCCTAGCTGTGTCGAGGGGGGGAGGGGGAGGGGTGTTTCTCTGCCCCGCGCCCCTCCCCCGAGTCCGAGGGGAGGGCTGGGGGAGGGCCGCCCCGGGGCGGAGGGAGGTTCCGGTGTCTCCAGCGCCCTACTGAGTGGCTGAGGGTTTGGAGGGAAGGGCCCTTAGGGCCCTCCCCCGGAGGCTCCTGGCAGGTCTCTCGGGGTCAGTTCCTCCGAGGCCTGGCCCGCCCACCTCTTTCCTGGGCCTGCGGGATTTTAACTGCTCGCCGGACATCACTGCCCAGACCGCCTCTTGGTCCTTAATGAGGCAGGGACCGGTGGCGGTAGTACAGGAAGGGAACCTGCAGGGGTGATGATCTATGGTCACGTTGGACGTACTGTTTATATTTGAGACACTGTTGGCTGGGTAACGTGCCAACTAGGGACTTACGCTAAGAGAATGGCTGATCCGGAGGCAAGGTTTTCTGCGATTTATCATACCTTACTTCCCCCTTCTCTCATCATCAGGGCATAAAGACAAATGGTAGGGAGAGAGGTCTATGCTTCGAGAGGGGAAGATGCTGGGGAAGCATTTCCCACGGGCTCATTCACACGTAAAATCTCACACTAGGAAAGAAGCAGGTGTCCAGTTTTCACTATCTAATTGAATTTACTAGTCTGAAAGGAGATAGGTTTCGATAAAGAATGTTAATTTTTTAAAAACTCCGTTTTAAGTAGACCCTAGTGCAAACATTAAACATAACAAGTACCTATCGATACAACCAGAATTAATCTTACCTGTATGCCTTGGAAGAAAATTTTTAATGTGATATTAACTAAAGTTGCATAAATTTTATGAACTTGGTGTGAAGTGCTAATAGTTTATTCGATAGTATGATTAACAAAATCTTAAATACTCACCTCTTAAAATACCAGACATATTGCTGTGATAATCCCAGCAGGACAGTACTTTCAAAAGCTGTTTCACAATTTTGTTTCTTTTATTTTTTCTTTCTCTTAAGAATTAGCATTTGGGAAGCTTAGCAAAGGGCTAAAAGTTAGATAACATTCATTTGAGTTGGACTCTCCATATTAGAGTACATAGTAGTGACACAGTTATATGAAAGCTAACACTTTTTGTAAAGGATTTTCTTTTTTGGTATTGGATTTTCTTTCTCTTTTTTAACCACTTCTTGATACATAGTGCAGTAGATTTGAGAATCTGTTTTTCATTTTATTTAGGAATTTATAGTTGATAATTAGAAAATTTGGTTCTCCCAGCAATACTTTATAGCACTTAAATTCTAGGAGAAAACGTATTTAACGGTAGTATATGTTCTAACTTACTGTTAATAATTGCACAACTGTGCAGGAAAGAAAACAGCTGTATGTAACCTTTCTGTGTGCTACATATAGTGGTACAACACTATAGAATGTTAAAGTTTTTAAAAACTCTATAAAAAAAATCCTTTCTTTCCCTTGCAGTTATTTGATTTTATCCTCCCCCCCCCGTTTTTTTAAAGTTTATTTTTTTTTAGTAATGTCTGCACCCACAGTGGGCCTGGAACTCATGACCTGGAGATCAAGAGTTGCACGCTCTCCCCACTGAGCCAGCCAGGTGCTCCTACTCCACACCTTTTTGTCTCTCCTGTTTGTCTAGGGGGTTCCTAATATGTATCCTCCCTCACTCCCAGCACCTCTTCCTCCCACGAAATTCTGAATAGGATCTCTCATGTGGTGGATAGAAAAAAGGTGTTACTACACATGGTTGTCATAGTAGAGCACGGTGGAATAAAATGATAAATTGGTTTTCATTTTAGTAATTCCCTTAAGGATAGGGAGCCTAACATTTACATGGCTAGCTAGATCTTTCACCTTTTTTCTCATCTAACCTTTACAGGATTTGAGATTGGCAGTAGTCGTCCCATTTTAGTGTATGTAGCACTCTCTCTCTCCCTGTGGATTTCAAAGAACTTAGAAAATCTTTTAATTCCTTTATTTACTAACATGCTCAAACTTCACCTTGTTTGAATGTGGAGTTAGCTTAATAATAGTGACAATATAGTCACAGAGTTGGGGAAAGAAATTATATTCAAAGAAGATTCAGAAGAATATCCTTTTTATTTTAAACACAAAATACATATTTTTTTTCTGACTTTGAATATAGTTTCTGTGAATGTCTAATGCTTGCTGATGTAAAAACGTTCTTGCAAGTAAGCATGTAATAGGGAATAATTTGGTAATGAATATTTTCCATTAAATCACATATTGCAAAGTGCAAAAATAAAGGAATTTTGAGTTATAGTAGAGTGAATTTGGCTTTTGAAGGCCTATTTAAAATATGAAATGCTTGCTAATTCTCATGTTTTTTAAAGGCTATCCCCCCTTCTAGCATTGGCTTGAAAATAAGAACATGCCAGAGATACTGAAGTAAGAATATAGTTTGTTTTTTTTTAAGATTTTATTTTTAAGTTATCTTTATACCCAACATGGGCCTCGAACTCAAAACCCTGAGATTGGGAGTTGCATGCTCTACCAACTGAGCCAGCCACGCACCCCAAGTTAAGAATATAGATTTTTAATTTGCAAAGCACAGATGAGTTACAGTCTGAAAATCCATGACCTTATGTAGGGTATTTATGAGTCATGGTCAACATATGCAACTGCCCCCACTCCCAAGTATCATAATATCTCAAATGGGTCTGTGGCCTCTCCTTCCCTGTGTTCAAAGTCACTGTCAGAAGATCCTTTACGAGGTAAATTCCTCTTAGCATAGGGTCAATGAGATTGAGGCCCGAGAATTGATATTTAATTGCCCGCTGTGCTAGTTTTGTGAGAAAGCCATAATTTACAGTTAAGCATTATCATTGTGATGAGTTAATCCCATGAATAGTAATGTCAGTTCTGAAATGATGAAAGAAAGTTTGTTCAGATTGGTATATAAGACTCCCTAAGAGTCTATGCTTGACCTGAGCAGTTAACTAAAAGAATTATTATCATTACAAGTGCCATAGTTGTAGCTGCTCTAAGATTGTGGCATAGCCTTGTTACGAAGGTTTAGAGTTCTCACTTCAGTGAAAAGGGTCTCATATTGGGCTGCTTAAATTCCGTTTTTAGGACCACAGTTGATTACTCGAAGGCAGCAGTTTTATGTGAGCTGCATATCTGTACTTTGTCCTTAAGAATGCCACTGTATGGTGGTCATTATGGTAAGGTTATTGTTTTTGTTTTTGGAAAGACAGAAAAGAATAGCAATGCATGACTCTTTCCTTAGAAAATTATAACTTAATTGAAGAGGGCACTTACATAATATAGGAACTCTTAATACATGGCAAATGGAAGAATCTGTTATGCATTGGTTATGCTTAGGCAAAGTAACTGGAGGAGATGACTTTTACTTGTATATTGGATTCTTTTAATTTTTAAGGACTTAAAAAAAGTGTCAGTACCATTACTATACTTCAAGTGAACACTTTCAGATAATCAAATATTAGTGATCAGGTTTTTTTCCCCCTTAAGTTCTTTGTATGGCTTGTTGCATTACTATGGTTGTTTTTTCCATCATGATCCATTTCTCTTGCTGCTTAGAAAAGGCTGAGTGGTTAGCTAAAGGACCAGATATGTAGGTGTGAGATGTGTCAGGGAAATTATCACAATTTAAATTTTGGATTTACCTTCGTTCATAAATTCATGATTCTAGTACCTTTTATCATCTTTAGGATGCCTAAATTCTTAGTGTTTTTTGTCCTTAGGACTCCTCAGTTAGTCAGATAGCTTACTCTTTAAACTGTTCCAGGATGTAGACTTTCCAGAGTCCCCTTAACATCCAGGACATTTTCCTCTTCTATGCCTTGTCTTTCATATCAAAAGTGAAATCCCATCTCTGCTTTACTCTATTTCTACTTTTGTTTCCAGAGTATACATTTGTCTAACTACAGGACTTTATATACTTTTCCCAGCAGTATCTAGTAGTAGACATGGGATGGTGAACAGTGGAAAAGGTAGAGGGAATAATAAAAGCCTGTGAAATCTGTTTTTTCTTTGTATGTTTTCCTTTTGTCTGTGGTTCAAGAAAGGGATTTGATGTGAAGCAGCTGTAAAACTTTGCATTTTTTTGTTTCATTTTCACCTATCAGGGAATGTCTCCTTTTCCTTTCCTTAGTCTTCCCTATTTTAACTTTCCAGTGGGTGTCTTGGCTAATTGGATCAATCTTTTTTTGTTTCTACCTTGTGAAACTCCCTTAAAGATACAGCATACTTAGTGTTGTAAAGGAAGGAACCTTTCACTAATCCCTCCGTGCCCCAGCGGTTTAGATGAGAATTTCTCAACCTCAGTACTATTGATATTTTGGTGTGGATAATTGTTTGCTGTGAGGAGCTGTCCTGTGCATTACATGATGTTTAGCAGTAATCCTGGCCTCTACCCACAAGGTGCCACTATTGTGACAACGAGAAATGTCTCCAGACATTATCAGATGTCCCTTGGGGAATAAAATAGACCTTGGTTGAGAATCACTGATTTAGTTCCCATTACACCGTCTTAAAAAAATTGTACTTTCCCTTCTAGTGATTACTGGAAATAATATAGTGATAAGTCTTTCCCACCAGACTATAAGGTTCATGAGGATAGTGACCAATTGCTTCATATTCTCAGTACATAGCTCAGTGCCTTAATACATACTGTGTGTCAAAGATTTCTTGAATGAATGAATGAATAATGTACTTGGGATTGAATGACTTGGACCAAGGTAGTTAACATTTCTGGACGTTTGGTTTCCTCTGTGTAAAGTAAATGATTTGAGTTTATATTTAGGTTCCCTGTTAGAAGATTCTTTGATTAAATATAAAATTAATTTTGGGGGAGGACTTAGTACATATAAGGATTTTTTTTGAAGGTCATTTTATGGCA